AAACAACAACTCGCAGAAAACGGCGCGTGTAAGCTCATCCTAGAACTGTTAACACCTCTCCGCGTGACTGCGACGATATTGACTGCCTGTTTTCAGGTGATTTTCTTGACAACTCCCATTTTTTCCCCAACTTTCTCCTCCCAAGTCTTCTACTCAGCAACTGTTTGGACAGTTCAAAGGGAACTGAAGAGCCAGTTTGCCTTTTCGCACTCGTGCACATCATCTTACTTCGACACGAATAGTGCGTTTGGTGCTGCGTTTGGTGCTAATAAAATAAACCACTTTAATCAAACGGGCTCTAAAAAGCAACAAAGGTAGGTATGTAAGCCCCTGCAACTATTATACACGAACGCCGTCACCACCTTATGAAAAAGTGGACAGCAACATTGGTCAACTATGAGTTTATTATAAAAGTCACCTTTTTGGCTCTTGATCACACAGCGCGGCACTTCTCGCTCTTTTCAGTGCGAACAACATCTTACCATTAAAAGCTCAGCCGGAAGCAAGCGAACCGCTACTATGATGTACAAGTATAGAAACAGCCAATCGGGTTAAGTACCCGTTTTCCTGCCAACCTCTTTCTGTCGCTAGTATCTCTACATCAACTTCTTCCACTTAGCGTTAGTCCTGCGCCGTCGCAAGGTCCGCTGTTCTTGTTAGACGTCGCCACTTGTTCCGATCCACTGCATCTTCTGCCGTGGCTTTCACTTCAGTGAGGTCCTTCTTGATGACGTCCCTTCTTTCCTTTGTGGCTCCTCCTGGTCGCTCGCCCTATATTTCGAAGTGCAGGGCTCTCCTGACCGGGTGGTCCTCAAGCCTCCTCAGCACGTGCCCATACGATCGCAATAGCATCCCTCGTGCCAGCTGGAGAGCCGTCTGGGCTACTACCCTGACGTCCTCGTTCATAACACTGTCGAGTCGTGTTCCAGCCGCAGGCCCATCTCAGCATCCTCATTTCAGCTGAGTGGAGCTACCTTTCTTGGCTAGCACATGGGCCAGAACTCACTGCCGCAACCCATTGCAGTTATCAGCACCGCGCTATCTGAGCTCAGTAATCTGGCCTACTTCACGTCTAGCCAGGGTCCACTCTCAGCAAGCGCATCGTGCCATCTCTGCACCTTGCTCTGGAGTTCTTCCCTGCTATCCGCTATGAGAGATATGCCGTCAGCATAAGGGGTGGTTTTCAGTGACCCTTCCATGAGTTCCATTTGCCATGACATCCAGAGTCAGGAGGAAGAGGAACAGGGCTGAGGGCTGATCCTTGGTGTACCCCAACCGTGATGTTTACCTCCTTGTCAAACCGTGAGGGTGCATACAGCCGCCTTGACCCCATCGTGCATTTCTTTCACTGAGGGATACTAGATTTTCTGGAACCTTTTCTCTGAACGTTCCAGCGCACAGGCCGAGGCAACCGATGTCTTCTCAAATTCCAGGAAGGCAAGGGAGCAGGGTCGCTGCTTCTCTCAATACTTCTCCATCACCGATGACGATGCCATCAAGGGTGGACTTTTCGAGTATGAAGACGAAGTGATCGTGCTAGGTAAGGACAATGTCCCTCAGCATGTGTTGACTAGCAGCTCGTAAAGCTTTTGCGGCGGTAGTTGAAGCACTCCGTCGCATCTCCTTTCTGTTTGAAGATGAGGACGATTGAGCTGCCAATCCTCGCATCCGGCCTTCATTCGGCTGTATGTTGTTTAGGAAGTGCGTGAGCCAACTCACCCCATGCTCTCCAAGGGCCTTCCATGCCTCTATCGGTACCCCGTCTGGACCCACTGCTTTCCCAACTTTCATTCTTCCTAGCTCCCGGCGAACTTCATACTCCATCCATAAAATAATGGGATCTGCCGTCGTCTCACTCTGTGGGCAATATCTGTGATGGAATTCCTCCTACAGGAGTCTCTCTAATTGCAAAAATTCTTCCCATCTCTTTTTGAAATCGGCCGGTTTGCTAAAGATGGCACCGTTGCGGCTGTTCACAGTCTTTACTATCAGGATGTCTTGAAGGCAGCGTCCGCGTTCAGTTGAGATTTTCCTCTCCCTTCGTGAGCAGGTAGTCAGGTCCGCAGAGGCAACAACTACACCACTTTCGCGGCGCAAAAACGAGTGAGGAGGCCCACGATGCCGTCGTTCTTCTCATTGGCCCAACCTACAATCATTGGCACCGCCCTCCATTCATTCTAATGGTTATCTGATGGTGCGGTTGTTTCGCTGCTGCTTCTCTCCACGTCGAGTGGTGAGAGTGAGGTGATAAGGGAAAACAGCTGATATCAACAAGTGAGAACTCGTGCGACCGCACCTTCTCTTCGCCTTGAGCACGTACAACCTCAATTAAGCAAGGGTTCTATATAGAGCCTTTCCTATGATTTCTTTCTGATTTTTCTTCACTAAGGGGTTACTTGCTACCTTGTTATAAGTATTTGAGCCGCATAACTCATCAAATTTGAATGCGGGCTCAGCCTTTAAGCAGCGCCATACCGAGC